GTGTGTGTGTGTGTGTGTGTGTGTGTGTGTGTGTGTGTGTGTGTGTGAAGCATCGCCCATTCCTTTCTGTTTTCCATATGCAAACTGAAAACTCTCTGCTTCCTTCTTCATGCTTGACTCATTTATCACACAAAAATGAATTTGTTTTTAAAGAATTTCCTGCAATGCAGCACTGTATAAAGTAAGCGAAATTCTGTATCTGACTTAAGAATCTCACAATGAATTTACTCCCCAGGATAGGGGAGGTTACAAACGGGGATTTAGGTTTGGGGATTTTTATTATCTTTTTGTATCTCTTGGTCATAGATCATGATAAATTAAAAAGTTAAGGGGCAGGAACTAAGATTTATAAACATAATACTGAAGTTTTCATAACTATTCACCAGGGTATTGAATTTGGTACTAAATTTCTTTGTTGGACATTGTAAATAGATCCTCAATCATGAGTAGAAATTTCCAGTTCATAGCCGGGCGAGATCGTTCGTCTTGAATCCATGTGCCTATAATCTCATGGATCCTCTGAGGATGAATTAGAGTCGATAATAAGGACAGGATAGATATGTACATCTTCACATCCTTTATTAGTTACCCATTTCCTGTTTAGTAGAAATGAGAGGCGATATTCATTAATCTTTGTGGAACTACTTTTCAGGCCCTCCATCCGCACCAAGAAATGTTATCTCTAACATAAACGAGACCTCAGTTATCCTGGACTGGAGCTGGCCCCTGGACACAGGAGGCCGGAAAGATATTACCTTCAACATCATATGTAAAAAATGTGGGTGGAATATGAGGCAGTGTGAGCCTTGCAGCCCCAACGTCCGCTTCCTCCCTCGGCAGCTCGGACTCACCAACACCACGGTGACAGTGACAGACCTCCTGGCCCACACTAACTACACTTTTGAGATCGATGCCATTAATGGGGTGTCAGAGCTGAGCTCACCACCGAGACAGTTTGCTGCAGTCAGCATCACGACTAATCAGGCTGGTGAGTACACTTGGGCGACGTCAGATTTCAGCTGTCATGTCCATCCAAGCCCTGTGTGGGCAGAACAAGCGAGGATAACATGGCTGCATGGGGAGATGGAAGAGAAGCCCCAGATTCTTCTCCAATCTCTTGCTCAGACAATTGTGGTACATTAGTAATTTGATTTAATTATCTGACTCAGAATAAAACATACTTGCAAGGGAATTTCAAAACTATTTTAAATGTATTGCTGCCTAGTTGAAACCCTGAGGTGGCAAAGGGGCCCCTTGAAGAACTTAAAAGGTATTGGAGGCTTGCAAAGGCCAGACAGACAGTTTAAAAATATATATGGGTTAAACTGGATTCATATTTAGTTATTTATTTAGTATTGTGAGGAAGTCCTAAAGTATCATAGTATTTTGTTTGTTTTGTTTTGTTTTTATTTTTTTTAAGAGTGGGGAGTTTTAGCTGAATACAGGTAAGCCAGCAACTGAGCAAGCATGCATTTGCTTCTCCCTGTTCTTCAGTACAGGTGCCACATGACCGGCTTTTTAAAATTCCTATCACATGACACTCCCCCAAACAATGGACTATTGCATAGACTCATGAGATAAAAGAAAACTTTCTCTCCTAATATCATTTTACAAGTATTTTACCAAAGCTGTAAAAATAATGCTAGAGCGTTTCCTTTGGCTGTCTGAATAAGGTTAACTTAACCGTAGCTCAGAAGGATCATCCAGAGCTGACACTGGAGAATTTGTCTGTAATATGCCTCTGCTGGGTGGTAATATTCTTTACAAGTAGCTCAAATTCTGGTAGTTATAATTCAGCAAGTAAGAAATACACCAGGAAAGGCTTGGCCTCAAACCTGCTAAGTAATTCCCTAAACTCAGTATCTCAGTCCACCTTCATCCTCTGGGAATCAGGTTATAAAAAAGAAACCTCAGTATTTCAGGACTAGCACCCTCCTCCTGTCCCTGTCCCTCACAGGATAATGGACTATTACTCCTTTCAGAGAATATCTACCAGTGGTTTCCTTTGTAATTCTCAGTCCTATGTCTCATTTATGTTGTTGTTGCCCTAACGTTGCTTCTAATCCCTTATCTGAGTGAAAATGCAGTTTTCTGTAACTTCTTTCATAGTGATGCACAAACACCGTCTGTGGAAATGTGTGACTTTTCAGTGTTTTTTTATCAACCATTACTTTAATCATTATTAGGAAACTTGTTTTGCCCCTCTCTATGCTAGATCCCAGTCTCACAGACAAAGGCTTTGCCTTTGCTACAGTTAATGGTATTTCATATTTACACTTCTGTTAAAAAGAGGTGTAATGAGTTTATTTAACTATCTTTATATAGAAAGATGAACAATAATAATGTTATATATTACGTGACTATGGATTTTCCCTGTCTAGTGAACACCGGAATTCTATAGTTCTAATGATGTGATAAATGATTTACTGAAATCCTCTATTTCAAGCTGACTTACTGCCTTTAAACAGGAGCATCAATCTGTGCTCTAATTATAGCCTAAGTCAAACAAGAACGTTTAAAAACAAGCAGGAGCTCCTCTGCCCTATCTTATCATTCCCCTCTGGCTTCAGGTAATGCATTAATCAGAAAATGAATAGTTCTGAATATATCCACTGAGAGGGGAGTGGCAAAGATTCAAGGAGGAGAAGACTGGGATCTTACAAAAAAAGATGAGATTGTGCGTTCCACCCCCACTGCCTGTTATAAATCAGTGAATGGGGCAGAGGTCCACTAGAAGTCACCTCTGACTCTTCCTAAACTGACTCCTCTTTCTTTCAATAGCAGATTTGACCCAGTGCTGAACAACAGAAATGATACGTTTATCATATGGTGCCTGTAGCATTTTGTATGCCGGTGGGGGCAGAGGTTCTTTCTTTATCTTCAGTCCCCAGGGTGAGGTGTATCTGCATGGTTATATGTAAGCAGCACCATGTCTATTGAGAACGCCTCTTTCTTTTATTTTATTCTTATTCCTGTGAAGGTTAATGGACTGGTAGGCTTATAAAAGTAACCTCCCAGGCATTTGAAGGATGTGGCTGTGCTGGATATAATGCCTCCGTGTTTCAATTCCTTCTGTTCTCTCTATCTTTGACATGGCTATAGAGGCCAAAAGTGAATGTGTCCCTTTTAATTTAGTTTCTGAGATTGAGTTTACTGATCCCCCTCTTGATTACACTGTTAAAGCTTCCAGATAACCACTTGATAAGGCACCTTCTAAATTGTAGAGGATTATGTGGTAAATTCGGATATCAGTTCCTAGCTCTCGATGCTTGCACAAAGCCAGTGAGATTAAAAACATAGACATGGTTCCTATATAAAGATTGTATCCATCACTGTGGAAGTCAAACATGTAGAGGAAGAATTACAGATTGTAAAATAAACAAATTAAAGTTACAGTCTAAAATAAATTGCCACCTTTTACCTTATTCCTCCAAGTAGGAATATTTAACTTTCACTTCTGGAAACGTACATTCCTTGGGTGGAATATACATCTGTTTAGTCTTAATCTCCACCATCGGACAGATGACTTTTGAGTATCCTATGGCAGATAACAAATTCAGATTGGATGAAGGGACAGAGTCTGAGAATTTATGAAATTTTGATTTCTCTGTCTGTTCAAATGCTTCTGCTGGAAAAAATCCAGACACTTTCCCAATATTTCAAAAGGATTCCAGCCTCCTTTATCTCCCCATCCAACTCTACTCCCACATCGTTCTCACGTTGCTGTTTATGCTTTGTTCCACGAAGCAAAGAACAGTAGTGCTGACCAGAAGATGTAGAGTGGTCATAGAGCTATCTGTTATGACCAGCAACAGTAAACCTGACCATTGCTATTTATTACCATTGGGCTTTTAAAGGGAGACTCTGCACAAAATTACCTCTGTTGTATCCAATATTCTTAAGACTGGATCTCATCATTTACTCCCTAATACTCAGATGATTTTCTCCTTACTTTCTTTTTTAAACTTTTTTAAAAAGTAAAATATTTGAAATTAGGATGTTTTAAAATTATTTTATTTATTTGAGTTTTTAATATAATTACATCATTTCCATCTTCTCTTTTCTTCTCTTTTCTCATTCAAAACCCTCCCACATAATCCTTCTTGTTTTCTTCCAAATTCATTGCCTTTCTTGTCATTATTTGTTGTTAAATATAACTATGACCTTTCCCTCCTTCTCTTTTCTCTTCCCAACTCATCCAGTGGCACCCCTCCCTGTTCCCTCTCAAATTTATGGTTTTCTTTTCTTTGTTATGTTATGTATGCATATATAAATTGACAAAATATGAATACAAATTTCCCAGTCCATTTAGTGTTATATATATATATATATATATATATATATATATATAAAATTTCAGGGATGACCGATTTGTATTGAATAGCCATTTAGGAAGTTCATCTCTGGAAAAGGCTATTTATCCTGCTATTATTATTTTTTAATTGTCTGTTGTTTCTTGTCTAGTGTTACCAGCCCATGAAATTTTACTCTTTCATGGTAGCATGTCTATTGGTGGTGTTTCGGTCTTCTTTAGGCAGCCATGTGGTTGGATGAAGATTTCCCATCATTTTCAGGAATTAGCAATCTCACAAAAGATTTCATGATCTTCTGGTTCTTATATTCCTTCCATTCTCTCTTGTATGATGTTCCCTGAACCTTGGGTACAGGACTTGAGGTGTAGATGAGTCATTGGTATTGGGCATGATGTGATGATTTGTTCTCTGACTTTTGACCAACTTTGGATTTCTATAATCTGTTGTCAAAGTAGTTTGTTTGATGAGGGGTGGGAAACACACTCACCTGTATGAGAATAAGTATTTTACGAGCAATTAGGAATTAAGCTAGTTTAGTTAGGTTGTGATATAAGATTCTCCTCTAAAGCCCATGACATCACTAGCCCTAGAATGTTGCCTATTTCTCCAGTATCAGGCATCATTTTCCTCCTGTTGAGTGGATCCATCACTGGGACACCTTGTAACTTGAACCTGTACAGGCCCTGTGCAGGATGCCACAGTGTGAGTTTAGTTTGTATCAATCCTGTGGTGTCTGGAAGTTATTGCTTCCTGGGTGTAAACTATCCTCTCTGGCTCTTACAATCTCTCTGCCTCATTGTCTTTTATTTTATTAAGTGCATGTACATATATGCATGTACATATATGCATATTCCGAAATACATAAATTCAATCAGATCAGGCTGGGTAAGGTTACACACACACACACACACACACACACACACACGCACACACATTTTGTTTCAAGAGTGAGCATAGGTATTAGATAAGCAACTGGAAACTTTTAGCATTCCTTAATTATCTCTAGGTCTTTGTGTAGGGCTGAGGGTAATGGGCTTTCCCCTGTTCACTTTTACATGTCTCTTCTTGTTATCCTTGCTTAGCTCATGTTTAGGCAGTCATATTGAAACTTTGTGGATGTAGCTCCTGATATTACAAGGAAACACAATCTCACAGCGAACTCCCTATTCCTCTAATGTCTTAGTGATTCTATTGCTGTGAAATGACCATATGACCCCAGCAATTTTTATAAAGGAAAACGTTTAATTGAGGCTACCTATCAGTTTTAGAGGTTTAGTCATGTGAGATGCACAGCAGCGTACAGATAGGCATGGTCCTGGAGAATGAGCTAAGAGTTCTACATCTTGATCCTCAAGCAACACAAAGAAACTGTGACACTATTCCTAGCTTACGGGCATATGACTTCAAAGCCTTCCTCCACAGCCACACACTTTCACCAACAAGACCAAACCTACTCCAACAAGGTCACAACGTATAACTGTGCACTCCCTGTGGGTTAACATTCAATTACCTGATTCTGTGTGGATCATATTCTTCCTCTTCTGCAATGATCTCGGAATCTTAGGCTCAGGACTTGATTTGTAGATGTATCCTATCCATATTGTTGCTCTTTGGAAGCACTTTTTTTTTCCTGATTTACTTTATTTCTTCATTCTTTAAGAGCACAGTTCCAAAC